TCTTTAAGTATTTCGATATCCTCAGTTATAGCAGCTCCACAAAGGTATTTCAAAAGCTATCCTCCGGCGTCTATCAATCCACGCCTTTCTCGAGTTATATTAAGTATAACTAGTGATTTTAACTCGTTGTAGTCGGTTTCATATTCCAGTAGTGTGGCCCTTAAAAGATTAATTTCGTTGGCAGACAAAGTCCAACGGGATGTAGGAAGTTGGGCAGAGTTATCCGTTCGCACCTGACATTGTACTAAAGTGTTTAGAAGTTGTAGATGTTTTTTCAAGAGGTGTAACTGTTGGTCAAAATCTTGGAAAGATATATCCAAAACGAGGGTCCAATAATTTGTGGTCATGAAAAAATTTCCTTGATGTACAAAAATGACGCCTTTGAGTACGTCTGGAGTGGCCTTGGACTCCATTGGTGTTGAATGAAGGGTGTAGATTGCTGATATAAGTAAAGAAACTCGTAACAGGGTTCGAATATGCATAATGGCTGGAGGTTCGTCGATGAGAAACCCTGTGAAAAGGGGAAAAGTCATTAGACGTTGAAAATAACAGAAAACATTTAAGTTATCAATGTTATGTAAAAATTGAGGAACTCTAAAAGGGAGTGATCCTTCTTAATATTGTTTCTTGAACAGAATTAAGCGGATGAGATTGTAATTATTGGGTTCCCCTTCTTGTTACTTTTGGAGGTTGGTTATGATTTCTTTCTTTTTTTTGGACTAGCTTTTCGTTTAGGGATTCGACTTCGTCGTGGAGGTGGAAGGATCCAAGGTCGATCTTCCACGGGCCCTTGGCTTCTTAAAGCGTAGGAATGTGAGGAAGTGGGTTGTTCCTCTTCGATGAGGGGCTCTGTATCAGTTTCCTTTTCTCCTGAGTCAGATTCGGATTCAGATATAGAATCAGGTTGATGTTGTGACATTTCTGAGAAAATAAATTCGTCCCAAGGGTCTGAAATGGAAGGTGGTTCTTCCGTAAGGGAAGGTTGTTGACCGGACGTAGAAGGCAAAGGTTGATTTATAAGTCCTTTCTGTTCAAATTCTTGTCGGGCCGTGACATGTTTAAGACGATTAGCATAAACTTGGATTCTTTTCTTTGTAGTTAGATTTTCAATGATAAAGGTTACGGGACTTAATTCAGTCACAATTCGAAATGGACCTGACCATCTAGGTGCTAATTTTCTTTTTAGTCCTACAGGTACTGTTACTTCATTGAGAAACACTCGATCGCCCACATGATACACAGGTATCTTATGAGTTTGTCGATGTCGTATTTGTCTTTCTCGAGCAGTTGTTCTGCATGTTTTTGGGCCACTTGATGGGCTGCAGTCATTCAGCATTTAAGTTCTGATGCGTAGTTATCGTCGATATCATATTTTGTCCGAGTGGGACTTGTTACAAGATCGAAGAGATAAGTTGGGTCTCTCCCATATAACAGGAAGAATGGACTGTCATTTGTCGACGCATGTATTGTAGTATTATAAGCAAAAAAGGCATAAGGGATCCATTCATCCCAATTCCGTTGATCCTTCGCAACATAATGTGCGATGATATCGATCAAAGTTTTGTTAAATCTCTCCACCACTCCGTTGCATGCAGGATGATAAGCTGTGGTGAGAAGTCGCTTTATTTGCAGTAATTCGCACACCTCTTTGAACATTTTAGATATTAAGTTGGGTGCTCGATCAGTGAGTAGTTGAACGGGGGTTGAATGTCATAAGACGATGTGAGTGACGAAAGCCTTGGCAATAGTTTTGCTTTGGGTATCAGATAAAGGTATAGCCTCTGCATAACGGCTAAAGTGATCTATAAAAACGAGAATATATTTATTGCCATTTAAAGTGATGGGTAAGGGTCCTACTATATCCATAGCGGTTCGTTCAAATAGTCGTGTTAAGGGAGGAAATAATTGTAGTTTCGCCTCCTGCCGTTTGTCCTTTCTCTTTTGAACAGCGCATTGCTGACAGCTTTGACAATAATTTTTTATGTCTTGGTTCATAGTTGGTTAGTAAAATAATGATTGAAGTTTTTGTTGCATCTTTTGAGATCCCAGATGACCTCCTATAGGGGTATCATGATGGATACGTAGAATATAAGGGATTAGTGTAGATGGGACAACCAATTAGTCCAGAAATTTTCCTTATGGGGTAGCTAGTTCATGATATAATACTCCTTCTTCATCCAAGAAATAGTGTTGAACCTTATCTGAGTTATCTTCGTTCTCTAGGAGTTGGATAATGGTATTCCACTTTTCTTCTCGTCTCTGGAATTCTCCAATTTGAGATTTTGAGTAAATTGGATCGACATTATCGATTGTAGTAATTTGTCGGATGGGAATTCGGCTTAACGCATCAGCGTTTTTATGGCAACTTCCGGCTTTATGTCTAATGTTGAAGTTAAATTCTTGTAGGAAAATAACCCATCGGGCGATTCGAGAATTTGTCGTAGAGTCCTTGTTACTAATCAACTATCGTAATGGACGGTGGTCTGTTACTATAGTAAACTTTTTCCCATACAGGTATGGTTTGAAGTATTTTGTAGTCCAAACTACAGCTAAACACTCCTTTTCAGTCGTGCTATAATTCCTCTCGGGTTTCCTCAACATTCTGCTAGCATAGGCTATAGGTTTTTCTCCATTCTCGTCCTTTTGGGATAAAACCGCTCCTATTGCTTCATTCGAGGCATCTGTTGAGAGTATAAATGGTTTTGAAAAGTCTGGAGATTTTAAAAGTGGAGCTGAGGTGATGATTTCCTTTAGTCGTTCAAAGCTACTTTCCTGTTCCTCGCCCCATTGAAACTTGTTATCCTTTTTCAGAAGTTCAGTTAAAGGTTTTGCTATTTTAGCGTAAGAGTCGATATGTCGTCTATAATATCCTGTGAGTCCCAAGAATGATTTTATATCGTGTTCGTTAGTTGGTCTGGGAAAGTTCATAACGCATTCTATTTTATCTGGATCGAGTCTTATTCCTTCTTCTGAGACATCATGTCCCAAGAATTTTATCTGTCGTTGAAGTAACATTTCTTAGGTTTGAGTTTTAATCCTGCAGTAGCTAGTCTTTGGAAAATTTGTTCTAAACGAACCAAGTGAGTTTGGAAGTCTGGACTGAAAGTCAATATGTCGTCCATATAGACTAGACAGGTTTTCCCTTTTAGGCCGTGTAATATGAAGTCTGCGGCACGTTGCCAAGACTCTGGAGCCACGCAAAGTCCCATTGCCATGCGATTCCACTGGTAATGACCATCAGGGGTCGAGAAAGCTGACTTCTCCTTGTCGCGCAACCCTAGTTGCCAAAATCCGGATATAGTATCCATGGTCGAGAAGTATTTTGCTTGACCAATTAAACTAAGTTCCTCCTGTACGAGGGGTAAAGGATAGGGATCCACCTTCGTTATTTTATTCAGTTTCCTATAGTCCACCACAAGCCGCCATGTTTGATCACGTTTCTTAACTAATAAAGCGGGCGCTGACCATGGGGACTTCGAATGTTCTATTATACCTTGTTCTAAGAGTCTGTCGATAATCTGATTCATTTGTTCTCGTTGTGCATAGGGTATTCGATAGGGTGGTTGATATATAGGAGCAGCATCTCCAGTATTTATTTCATGTTCTACTATTGGGCAATATCCCAAATCGTAATCGTTCTCGGCAAATACATGTCTATATTTATACAGTAGGTCTAGTAGAGGTTTCTTTTTGTCCTTCCCTATGTTGGACCAGTCAAATAAATGACTAAATTCTTGCTTAGTTAGATTAGTAGTTGAATTTTGGGTGTTAGCAGTTAAGTTTATATTTGGAGGTTCCGTTTCTTCTTCCGCATCATGAAAAGTTCCTATGCAATCGCCTCTACGTAATTTTCTAGGTTGAGTAGAGAGGTTTGTTAATCGGACCGGAACTCGACCGTCCTTTGTTGGTTTAACTATAGAGTCGACACCTACAATACCTTCTTGGTTGTTTATTTCCGTTTCTATAACTCCTATTTCCCCTTTTCGTTTTATTTCGGATATTCGTGCTGTAACAATAGTGTACCTTCATCCCCTTTCGGCCCCTGCCACTTAACTTTCACTAATGTCTAACTCTTCTCACTTCTTTCATCTCCTTCGAGGATATACCTATGAGTAATGCCTCCTATCCCCCTTTACTTTACTGTAACAATAGTCTCTGTTCTTGGAGGTAGATTACATTCTGTCGTCAAGATTACCTTCCTATTGGATTCGTTTCTAGGAGATTTCTGTGAAGTGAGAAGGTTTGTTCCCTCGTCTTGTTTGGTTGGGTGAATAGCAAGTTGTATGGGTTTACCTCGGCGATTTCGTTTTCCACCCTTTCGAATGGATGTTATCATTTCTACTCCCGCTTTCCAGAAGTCTATTTCCTCTCCTCCTAAAAGTATTAATTTTTCTCTCGCTAAATCTATCGTTAAGTTTTGAGTCTTAATTATATCTCGTCCCAAGAGACCATCGAAGGGATAAGGTATTTGATCTTCAACCACGTAACATGAGTACGAAAATTGTAAAGGTCCTATTAAGAAGCGGAACTCTATAGCTCCATACGTTCTGATTCCGTGTTTGGTGACACTTTAAAATAATACCTTCCTTTTTCTCTGTGTGAAGTTGATTTTTGTTGCCCGTTGGGCGAAAGATCGGGATAAGAGGGTTACTGTCGAGCCTGTATCTATGGCCAATCGAGCTGAATAGTCATTGATTGAACAACATAAGCTAGGTTCAAGATTTCTTGTTACTATTCCTACACCTATTCGAGGTCGGGAGTCTTTGTACCTTTTATCGCCTTCTCTAGTTTTGTCCGATATAGTTGAAAATGGAACTTGCGTTCGATGCGCAGTGGTTCGAGGAGAAGATGAGGAACATACTCCATTGGATCGGAATTTTCCTCCCATCCTTCGCCAACTCATTTTATGACTCTCCCATGCGGTGGAGGTCGAGATTGAGGTGTAGTTTGTTGAGATCGAAATCGATTCGTCGTTTCGCTTGATCTATCGTTCGGTCTATATGGTTGCCTGCTGCTATATGAATCAGTTCGAGAATAACCGCGTCGTTCTGACGGGGGGTGTAGTATGATCTTCCTCTGTTCGCCGTTGTCTCTCCGACGCATATTTTTATTTCTAAGTTTCAGTTCATTGATTTGTCCTTGTAAGTTCTCTATAGTTGCAGTTAGATTATTATTTGTAGGTTCGGGACTAACTACCGTTCTAATTATTCCTCTAGAGGAGGTTTCCGTTAATTGTACTATTGTTTGTTCGCTAAGGGCCGCTTTGACTGCTTTGTCAAACAGTCAAAGTGTCTGGTTCTCGGGACAATAATCTACCCTTAATTCTAGCATTCAGACCGGTTAAAAATTGTGCGAGTAGTCTTTCGTCTCGTTCTCTAGCTTGACATCGTTTTATTATTTCAGTTTCCCGAGCATCAGCCCCTGTCTGCTCGATTATTGTTTCAGTTACTAGACTTTGCAGTCGCACTGCATACATTTGTACTGTACGTAGCATGAGTGTTATTCTTTCGCTATGTTTACATAGAACGATTTTTGAGAGACTCATCTGTCGTTGGTCTTTGCATCGTTCTGTAATTTGATCCATGATATTAAATAAATTTTAAATTTGTAAGATAAATGATATAAAAAGTTATCATTGAATTTAGAGTATTGTTTCGTTATTAATACATTGTTACATATTAAGTTTAAAGTATCGGCTGATCGTAATTAAAATATCCAATAAAATGTTCCCAATAAAATTTATTTAGCATTTTAACTAGAGTATGGCAACATTTCAGAACCTAAAGAAGACATTTCCTTAAACTGTTCTGTAGTATTTAATGCTCTAGTCGATTCTATACTTTTGTGGTGCTTAAAATCAGTATTTTTACAATTTCTGCTTGTTTTCTGTGACATAGGAAACTATTGAGTATCGACAAATTATGTTTTCATAAATCCCGAACAATATATGAAAGGTAGCTAGCTACATCGTATGTGTAATTCCTAACCTTCGTATAGTAAATTTGCAGTGGATTTATAGTTTTGTGGAGAACCTTATAAAAAAGCTCTATTAATAATAAACTCTTTATAATAGGAAAGTTCGTTCTACAGGTTTTATAACACTAGGTTGTATAGATGAGCTTCACTCCATATACGATCCTTCTGTTCGGAATAATGATCATACTTAATAAATATAAATAAAATATTCTTTATTTTAAGAAATTAAAAAACCCATT